CCACGCCCTGCTCGCGTAATTAGAATTTAAATATGTACATAATAACTGGCGCTATAATGCTCACGCTCAACATAGCCCCGTACTAGGGAAACTCTGTATCGTGGGTGCCATGGACACACATAGAGAACTGCAAATTACACCCAAACTCACGAAAGAAATAAATGTAGGTCATGCAAATATTTCCTTCGGCCCGGGAATCGAACCTGGGACCTCTGCGTGGCAGTCCGGCATGGTAACCGTTCGGCCACGGAGGCAGTTATTTCTACTCTTTAATAATACTGTATTATTGAGTTGTTTTGTAAAATAACTCCATTAGTTCTAAAATAACTCCAATAACTCCATCACAAAGAAATAAATGATTTGATTTGATTTGATTTGATTAGTTATGATTATTAATACAAAGATCAAACACAGAAAAATTTCTTCAACCCGATGGGACTTGAACCCATGACCACGCTGCACCGTAGCGCTGCTCTAACCAACTGAGCTACAGGGCAAGTTATCGAGTTGTCAAAATTTTCCTATGTGTTTTTGTTAAAGATATTTGTACTGGATTCTATGGATATCTAGTGAGAGTTTTTAGAACCTTCTTCCCCGCAGCCTTAATACTTCCTGATAAATAGTAAGTAGTGGTACATGAAAACAAACAAAATTGTAAGATTTTATTCTATATTAATTTGTTATATATCTCATCCATCATCTATTTCCGATTCAGAAATTGAAGTACTATTCGAACAAGTAATGTTTGCAATCTCTCATTTCAATCAAAAAATCAATAGGGATGACAGTCTTATAAATAATTAATTGCTGATAATTTTTATGTTAGTTTCAAATCACTTTGACATCTATTTCACAATTATATGAAACTCTATTGAACAAAATTCATCACAGGCATGACTTTAAGATTAGTATTATCAATAGCTTAATCGAATTTCGGGGGAAAATATAGAAATTGTGTAAAACACGTTGAGTTGAAAACCCTAAAATCCATTTATGTTTTTGTTTGTTGACCTTTATTCTACATCGAATTGGGCTAAAGTACATTTTTTTTAAATATATAATAGACACACGCTTGGCCACAATCTCACCTGATGTTACGCTACGATGTGACGCGTTTGCCTAAAAAATGCCTATTCACTCTAGCGTTGAATAGCCCCAAATTGTACTTTTCCGGAAATACGCATCAGAAAGAAGGAAGCAAAACGTTCGTTAATGCGAATAGGTGGAATATCAACGACATAAAAATGTAGTGCTCCGGACCTTCTAGTCGACCGAAGGAGGAACACACAATAATACAACAATAACAATACAGTGGGGTATTTTAACAAAAAAATATGAACATCATGGTAATAAAAACCTGATATTCAATAAAATAAATATATAAATCATTCTAGTTAATATAAATAATATTTACGGTATCGCTTGTGACCGTTGGCTTTATTAATTAAACGAGTTTTAAGTACACAGTTCGTGGAGTTGAAATTGTTTAGCCCCTAGTGACGTGTAATTATAATGACGTGTTTGTTGAGGTAGGTTCGAGCACGATATTCGTACAGAGTAATTTGGGTCATGAGAATTACATTTGAAAATAGTTCAAATTTCATAAACTTGTGACGATGCTACCTCTTTCATTGTCTGTTTATAAATCTTTTATCTGGTTCTGGCCACTTACTTTTAAAATTTTGAATCGTTCTTTAATTATTTTTCTTTGTCATTCTTACTTGCTTCGTTCCAACGTTACTCCTTACAAAATTCACGAAGAGAAAAGACGTGTCCTTCATTTTCAATCATGTAAACGTTACTGCTTATCCGCTCACGCGATGCGCTCCTCCTACCGCAAAATGGCGGCTATTTGGTTTCGCAAATTAGAAAAGTATTCAGTTTAAATACAAGTTTTTATAAATAAAAATTATTATTCTGCATTGCTAAATAAATACCCTTCGTACTACCAACAAAAACATCTGAAATAAAATGCAGTAATACACCGCAAATCCTGCACTTAAGAAGCACTAATGAATTTTTTGGTGTACTTGGATAAATATGATAATATTCCTTTTGAGTGGTTCTACCATGAAATTACTCCTTAAAGTATAGTTTATAAACATTTATATTCAGGGTAAACTTAAAAAACGCTACTTACGGTATGTTTTCAATAAATAAACACCGCAATCACCAGCCCAAACAATAACACACACGATTGTTGTGACGTATTTTTGAAGTTGTTTATTCTTTTTAAATGACAGACCTAGGCATTAAAGACTTTATAGTTTGCTAGAGTAGTTACTGAAATAGCAATTAATATTAGTTCTTTTACCTGTTATAACTCGATATCCGATAAATCGGTATAAAATCATCACCGGCACCTCTGGGTGTGGTATGCGTCTACGGCTGCAGGTATCGCGTGAAAAAGCAGCAATATTATATACGAATACAGACCCTTTTGTGCTTTTCTTTTCTCCTCTCTTTTTCTCCTTTTCCTGCACCTTTTCGCTACTTTATTATTCATACCTTCTACAATAAAATTCATGTGGACGGAACGTTTCTATCATTATTAGGCAAGACCCCGCGTGACAAACTATGTAATCTAGCCATATTCAAAGAGTCACAGACAGTCATGATCTGGGTACCAATTAATCAACCAATTATTCAATTAATTAAGCTTTATAAGAAAAGTTAAGAAAGAGCTCCTTGTGAAAGAGTTCGTCCAGGAAACTACTGCTATCTTACCTATTTCTGCCGCCAAGCAGCAATGTGAACATTACTGCGTTCCTGTTTTGAAGGGTAAAGGGTACTGGTGAAATTACAGGCACACGGTACTTCTCAACTTATGTCTCAGGGTGATAGGTGCAGCGGCAGCGTCCTTCAGATCTTTGTAATTTCAAGCTCTGAGTGACATTGCAATTGCTATTTTAAAAAAAGCAGCAGCAACGCTATGGCCAAGAGTAGCACAAGACAGAGTCTGTTGGCAGAACTTGGAGGCTTTCACCGCTAAAGGTAGCGGTTACATATAACACTATTAACTGTAAATAAGACGATATACTAACCGTGATAACAAACACAATAAGCAAATAATAAACTATACGTATTCTATTTATTATTGTGTGGGATAAATAAGGCTATAAAAAAATGACAATTTCATGTGATTATCGTTAGCTTTTATTATGATACTTCTTCTTCTTTATTAATTAGTGGCTTGTTTTGTGTCTTTCACAATTACGCCAATGTCACGTCGTAGGTAGCCTCTACACGGGAGGAGTTGATTTGTTTTCAAATATAATTTTGACCCTTACTGCTGTCTTTGAGACTCGAAGCGGGTTTATCTAAAACAAAGCACACAGTTGCAACATCACAGGACAACACAAAAAGCATAGCCTATTTTATTATGATATATACTACCACTGTGCGCCCGTCACCCTTTTTTTTTTTTTTTTTTTGACGGTGGGGAAATCTTTATAGGTTTATTAAGGCCCGTCACCCTGACACATTCAGTCCCAGCTCCATGTAATTTTACTAGTACTTTTTTAAACCTGGCCCTGTACTCTCGTTCTCCATTTAACATCCGTCCGAAACAATTAAGTGATACTCGACCAAATTATTGTTATTTAATTATTTATTTATGTTCAGGTTACAAAAGACCCATATAGATACCTTATAGACTAATATACATAGTAATGTAATAAAACACTAACACTATTCGTTTATTTACACGTAAGGACCGCGATGTGTGACGCAATGTGGGTGTCCGGTAACCGTCCACGGAAACGGCGGAACATGACACCGTTCGGCCAAAGGTCCCCCTTCATGAAGGCTGACAAATGTTGAGTTGGTACTCTCACGACTGCACAACACAACATTGCTCTCACAAAATTGTGCCGGGAGTCCAACTGCTCGACCCTCAGTGCAGCATAGGCGTTCTCCCGTTTGTATTCCACGATATCCGCAGACTTTGTGGAGTAATGAAATCGTAACACGTATAGCAACGTCGTCGGTACCGCTGGACGCAATAAATAGTTGGGGCCAGTCGAGACGGTGGCACTACGGTTACGGCTAGTGTACTTCTTTTTCTTTTCCACCTTTTTTGAAGCCGTCCTCGTCGCACTGGTCTACTCCTCTCGGTAATATTGATAACACAGCTCCAGAGATGAGTTGCCGTTTTTTCTTCTTCCCCTTCGTTAAAAGACGCATGATCCTAATGAAGCTTCATACTTGACATTGTCTTGTAATTAATTTTGTTCGAGTATTACTTATTTCACAGTAATTATTTCGGTTGGATGTCGGGCAGAGAACGCAAGTAGACCTCCTGAACGCAGTACTGCTCACATTACTGCTTCTTATTACAATAGGATTTATTAAAGCTGTCAACTCCTACTGATCACTCTACCTTGACCATGGATTATACAATCATTCCAAAATATTGGGAAAATGACACAAATTAATTCGGTGGTAAGAAACCTGCATAAAAACCATTTATTGAATAACAACGAATGTCTTAAAAATCTATAATTTTACTGTATTTCAAAACTTACTCTTAAGAACGATCACTTTATATTTTTATCATTAATATTTTGTAACTAAGAACAAATTGACAAGTACGTACAACTTTTTGCCGAATTTTAAAATCGCTTATGTTTGATTTTTTAAACAAATATGGAACCTGTAAAGATCCAAAAAGATGGTTTGTTTGAAAACAGATAAACGCGAGGTTAAATCTATAAAACTACGATTTCATTTCTAAAGTACATAATGGAATGTTTTTGTTCTTTATACATCTAAAACGAAGTCATGACGTCACGACGTCTCATCTTCAACATCATGTTATCATAACGGAATTTCATTCGAAGCAATTTTCAAACCATTCAATTGAATAGAACTCAATATCCAAAGGCCATTTAACCACATGAGACCATGTTGACCGACGTTTTCATATTTCCAGCGCAGACACGCCGTTTCCCTTGTCCTCGCAACAGACAATACTAATAATACGTCTATTTCATTCACAGAGCAGAGTATTGTCAATAGGGGCAGCAAGTTCACGAACCTAGTCGCGAAAAACAACGGGTGGCGTGCCACTCGCGGAGGTATGTTTGTAAGAAATGTACGGCATGCGCTTTCTGGCTGTTCATCAACGCAAACGCACAATGACACTTTTGTTTTTACACAATTTTAATACCACTTTAGGTAATTTTCAGGCTAATTCTTTACCTAATTGCAATGGGAACTTTTATTATTTAAATATTCTAGAATATTATCATGAAGCGTTATTTAATATATGAGTGTAGAAACCAGAAATATTATTTAATATTTCACGATAATATACTCGAATACTTAATAATAAAAATTGCCACCAAAATTAGGTAGAGAACACTAACTTGAAAATTACCCTTTAAGACCAGTGGTAGCCCAGTCGGAGAATGATTGCTTCTTTATTAAAATGTACATAACATTTAAATTTCTAAGTTCCGTACATTTGTGAATGTTTAGTAGCAATACATCTCGTTCGTGGCAAAAGCTGCATGTCGAAGACGATTCACGACCTTTGGAAAACGTGAATGTCCGGAAACCGCATTGGACTAGCGTGAAGGACTATGGCCTACATATAACCGGTTGATAATGACGATTAGCACTCTAGGTTGTATAAGCTGCCAGTAAGAGGGTCATTTTTAAGCTAGTTTTCTTTACCTAATGTCAGTGGCAATTTTAGTTATTTAAACATTCTAGAATATTATCATGACGCATTATTTAATATATGAGTGCAATAACCTTAAATATTATTTAATATTTTACGATAATATACTCGAAATATTTAAAAAATAAAAATTGCTAGCAAAATTAGGTACAAAACTAATCTGAAAATTACCCAAATCTCAATGGTTATATAAAAATCAAGATATACATTTTAAGACTATCGTGGTCATTCACTAAATGATTTGTCACTAATTACAGATTTATTTTCACTGTATGCTTTTTCTCATTTTTCTGATTTTTCGCAACGGTTATACGCTCCGTGGTCTTGGGTTGACTTTGTAACCGTTGCTAAATATTGGGGAAACAAAAAGAACTCCTACTGTGATAAGAAAACTGAAATAAGTGATAATCAAAAATCACAATGGCTGGTTGTAAATTTTTATTTACGTACCCTTTTCAAATGTCAAATTATGCAGTAACTGAAGCTTGAGTCTACATTGTAAAATTGGAATCAACGTTAATTATTAACTGTAAATAAAGGCTGTCTCTGTTTCGTTCTCTACACTATGCTTAGTAGTTCTGAGAGCTTGTTTAATGCTACCAAGGGGAAATTATCATTTTTAACATTCACATGCGAGGCGGTTGTTGATGCAAAGCGTTTCTTATATATGATTCATTAATGCACTTCATGGAAAGCCTTCAGCGATCTTTTTTTTTAGAAACCGTATTAAGGTTTTACATTTTAATTATATTATAGAAAAGTAATTGCCAAGGACGGCCTTTAGAAAATAATTAACATAAGAAATTTAATTATTTTGTTTGTTTTTCACTATATTCTCTGCACATACTACTCTGCATGTTTAATGTATTTTTTTTTATACTCCATTTTATTTTATATTTCCTTTGTACATATGTTTTATAATAATCTCAGTACAGAGTATTATAAAAACCGACCTCAAAAGTACGTGGAATTACATCTATTTGCCAAGTTTTATTGAAAAATCCCCTAGTTCGCCACTATACAGGACTTAACACAGGAGATAATAAAAATCGGTTCTCATTACTCAAAGTATATTGAGAGAGAAAACGCCTTGAATTGGAGAATAGCAAAACCAACCATTAAAATAATTGTTCCTTAAGTAAAATTTAGGCGCTATTTATAAAAATGAATGTTCATGAGGGATCAGCCACCATTAGAGGTGTATGATTTTCTTCAACATGAAATGAGACTATGGAGGTACCCTCTTTCTAACAAAAAAAGAATCATGAAAATTGGTTCACAAATACCGGAGTTATCGCCTAACATACATACAAAAAAAATTATGATAAAAGTTAAGATATTAACAGCTTGTATCTTACAACTTTAAAATTGATTGTTTATTAAAGAAAAGAAATGAGATATCTTAAAATATTTGTTAAAGAAAAGAAACAAAGGCATAACTAACGAAATAACCTACAAAAAAAACTAAAATAGATTAAATAGGTATCGATCCTCGTTGCAGGGTGGCCAGAATACTGATAGTTCTTCCTGTCTTTACGTGTGGGCAAGGTACAAAACCTCCTCCTTTCGATTTAACTTTGTTTTTGCAACTTGAAATTCTTATAAAAATATTTCAAGTAGTTATATAAATCCATGATAAACCATTTCTTCGTTGAATTATGTCGTGTTTCTCAAAACGGAAATGTTAAAAAATAAATATCATTTAATCATTTATTTATTTATTTAAGTCAACTTTACTGGTTACTTATTGATAACGCTTTTTTTTAAAATAATACCACGTGCCAGGACGAACAAGTCGTGCGAATACCCGCTAGTACACCTAGAGATAAAATGCCACTTCGTATACCTGTAACATTTCCAACCGTCCTTTCTCGTATTCGGAACTGACACGAATCGGACGTAGTTCGGAAACGCTCTTACCCTCCTAAGCCGGAACGCAGTACACGCACATTACTGCTTGGCAGCAGAAATAGGGAAGGTGGCAGTACTTCCCTGGACGAACTCTTTCACAATGAGTTCTACTTAGTTTAGTTACTGTGAGTTGCCAAATTTCCGCGTATTAATAAACGTTAAGCTACGGCTCAAGATTGTTATTAAATTTTAATCCTAATCAATCAAGTACATAATTTCATTCAAAATGTCGATAATTATAGTTCAGTAATATAACAGAACTTGAGGTGCATCTTGAAACATCTCAGATATTATCCAGATATTTATTTTCTTTGATAATAATCCAATATATATCCGACTACTATCCATGCTTTGTCTCTTTAATTTTTGATTATAAATGACAAACCGGTACGTCCTTTTTAATTTAATTTTTGACCCTGTTCTTTTTTATTTTGTTTTTTGTTTCTTTATTTTCACAAAATTGGAGGAGCACAATATTACTACATCGATACGGCTGTTTACAAAAATAACAGCAAGTGACCAAAAAATAAAGATAGCTTAGTGTTTACTGGTTATATCGAAACAGTGAGAATACTAACTAAACAGGAAGAGAAAAAAAGAAAACAATTTGGCTTATGATTTTTTTGGGGTTGATATTTTTTAAATATTAAGATCATTGTCAAAATAATTATCATAATATAATTATTAATACAAAGACCGAACGTTAAAGAAACCTTCGTTCCGGTTGGAACCGAGTCAACGCCTTCAGTGTACCGTGCTTGACTCTCACACAACTGAGCTAGGGAACGAACCAGCATACCTTATGAATTTCTGTTAGGAGAGCGTCTAGCACGGATTGTGTCAAGGCGCTGGCTCGAATCCAGCCGGTTCAAACGAATTTTTATTAGTGATGGATCTTTGTAATAATTATAACAAACTAGTGGAGTAATTTCATTAAGAAAATTTAATATCACGATAATAATGATGTTTTATGATATTTAGTAGCAGTAGAGCTCTTGAGAAAGAGTTCGTCCAGAGAAGTAACGTCACCTTACCTATTTTTGCCGGCAAGCAGTGATGTCAGCATTACTGTGTTCCGGTCTTGAAGGGTAAGGGCGCTGGCGAAATTACAGGCACATGAGACTTGTCAACTTACGTGGCAGGGTAACGGGCGCAATGGCAGTGCTCCTCAGATCTTTGCAATTTAAATTCTTTGTGGCACTGTAAGTGTTACGGACAGGCGTGTCGCTTACCATCACGCGCATGACTTGTTCGTCCAGTCACTTGACATTACAAAAAAAAAAGTAATAAACTTGAAAAATTTATAAATAAACAAAAAATAATGTTTATTAAAAAAAAATGAAAGAAAAGATATTTATTTGGTGTCGTTACAAAAAAGAAAATAAATTACATAAAATCTTAAGCTAAATATGCAGAGAACCAAAACGGTCACCACTCATCATGATAAGAAGGCTGCTAAGAAAACATTCCACAATGAACAGAATGAACGCCACTACAATAAACATACATTTTGAAAACATGAACATATTGTGTATATACATCATACATCAACATAATATAATACAAAATATATAGATTATGAAACAAAACAATAAGCAATAACAACATTTTACCACACACAAAAATATACAATACAATATTTTATAACATCTGCGGCACTTAAGAAACTACACAAAACAAAAACAAAATAAGAACAAAAAAAACATTTTACTTAAAAATACTCGTTATACCTCTTTTGATTTTCCATGAAATACTATTTAAAATTACTCTTCAACTTCTTACCCTTTACTTCTTCTTCCTCTTCTTCGAAATTCCTCTACGCTATAAAATACATAAGCCCATAAAAGGAGTTCTATTTGGGTATAAAATACATATGTAGGTGTTCGTAGGATTGGGGACCTATTCTGCACTCCTTATCGTAACTAATGTAATCGATATTTGTAGCGAAATTAATTTATTAACATATCTGGGATCAGCGAAACAAGATCTACAGCTCCCTATAAGCGGTTTCGTTATATATTTTTTAGTTTCTCTTTTATATATTGTTAAGTAAAATCAGAGCACCTAATTGATATTTTGATAACCAAAAAAAACTTTTTCCAGTCACTAGCTCGGAAAGGCTTTCTTTCTCATTAGAAACCTGCGCGCAAAAGCGTTTTTTGCACGCTAGCGTGGAAAAGGTTTCTGAAATTCGAACTCGAGGATGGACTGTGGCGCATATAACTTTTTCTTTCGATGAAAAAAAGATAATGACACGTTCAACTATGCGATTTGTCGTATATTACTTATTTATGTAATATAAACCCGTTGGTATATTTTACTTTGTTGACATCAAATTGATAATGATAACTAATTGTGTTTATCAAATTATTTTAATTCGTCGAAGAACTATATTTATTTCAATAATCACTTAATCACAGAAAATAAAAGTACTAGCAAGAATAAAAATTAATGAGGTGTAAATTCAGAATGCATCCGGAT